TCTATAAGGTTTTTTTTACTTTTATTTTTTACGATAACCTTTTGAAGATAAAGAATTAAAAGAAGCCATTTCACATAATGTTCAGTTTTCATTTAATTTAAGTTTTTTTTTTCAGAATTAAAAAACACATTTTTTTAAAATTACAAATATATTTTATCGCAACATCATCAGAAGCTAAAACCACCTATCGGTTCATCGCCAATTTTTTGTTCGTGAAACGGCTGTGTTTCACCATCGACTAAGTTAATGGCTGTTTTAACTGTCAGTTTTATTGTTATTATCCTCTGAAAATAGCCAAGAAGACGATGTATTTTAGCGGATTTTTATTTTCAGAGATACGCCTTAACAGCTTACGACACATTTTATATTATTGGTTTATTCTCTAAATTTAAATGCTTAACTTATTTGTAAAATTTTAAGACCGTTCCTTCGGTACATTTATTGTTTGTAAATGTTTGCAATATCCCTAAGAAGATGCAATTCTCCTCTCCTAAAACAATCAATATACATTTACTCCGTAAGCTATTAATGGAGAAAAAGAAAATCGAATTTTCGTGTTGGAAATTAAAAAGTGTAAAAAAAAATACCAACGTGACTTTTTCAAAATAAGATCGATGACGCAAGCAGTAGCGACAGTCGGGCTATTTTGATATCATCAAATCAAATATTAAAAGTTAGTCTAGGCATTCGTTTGGTGTCGCATTTCAGGGACTGGATGTGCTGAAAAGGGAAGATGGACATGACTGATCAACAAAATTGCTTATTGTTTTATGAACTTGGCTGATATAATACACAATTTTGCTAACTCTCACAGCACTGATAAGTTGTATAAGTGTAGACATTAGATGCGTTGATAAAGTAGACTTACCAGATGTGTGTAGAAATTAGATATGCAGAGAACGTAAACCTACCAGATTTGTGTAGAAATTAGATGCGAAGAGAGAGAACGTAAACCTACCAGATGTGTTTGGAAATTAGATGCGCTGAGAACGTAAACCTACCAGATTTGTGTAGAAATTAGATGTGAAGAGAACGTAAACCAACCAGATTTGTGTGGAAATTAGATGCGCTGAGAAATTAGATGTGAAGAGAGAGAACGTAAACCTACTAGATTTGTGTAGAAATTAGATGTGAAGAGAACGTAAACCAACCAGATTTGTGTGGAAATTAGATGCGCTGAGAAATTAGATGTGAAGAGAGAGAACGTAAACCTACCAGATTTGTGTAGAAATTAGATGTGAAGAGAACGTAAACCTACTAGATTTGTGTAGAAATTAGATGCGCTGAGAAATTAGTTGTGAAGAGAGAGAACGTAAACCTACCAGATTTGTGTAGAAATTAGATGCGCTGAGAAATTAGATGTGAAGAGAGAGAACGTAAACCTACTAGATTTGTGTAGAAATTAGACGTGAAGAGAACGTAAACCTACCAGATTTGTGTAGAAATTAGACGTGAAGAGAACGTAGATATGTATCTACCAGATTATAGAAGTAACAAGAGGAAGACAACTCGAACGATCCTGATCGTCTCAATAAAGAAGAATATATTTTATAATTACAGACAAAATAGTGGCTTCATGGGATGTCTGAAGGAGACTGGCTTTAAATGGATGGTCAGTATACCAAAAACTTGATGGTCATTGAGTCACCAATAGGCCCATATATTTGCATCATCTTTGTATGTTTTTGCTTGAACATATTGAATTTGTATACTAATATTAGGACAAAATAGATACCAATTCACTAGATGCATCTTGAAAAGATGATGGATTAAATTTTTAACAGTCGGTCCTCTTATCTTAGTAGGCCCTTATCTAAGTAGGCCCTATACAAGGAGACGAACCTAGAACCAGCTTGTCAAAAGTTAATTCATCGCGGTTGTAATGTCATTAGTTTAGATAGAATTAATAATCAAATAAAATTAAAGCATATTATATCTTTATTACAAACGTTATAATTTTATTTCCCAAGTATAACAATTAGGCAAACAATGCACCTTGTTGATAGTGTATAATTTATGTAAAAATAATTATAATTGATTAAAAATAATTATTAAGAAATTGAAGTTATTTCAAACCCAGGGAGAGTCCTAAACAAAGCTGAAGACAGCAATAGTAACAACACAACACTCTGTACACTAGGTATACGAAATGGGGATAGAATTATGCTGCTTGGCAGAAAGGTAGGATTATTTAATTAAATTGTCTGATTTGGTTTGTAGGACTACATCTCCAAAAGTAAACTGCAAAGACAGTCACTTTAAAAAAAAATATATTTTAAAATTGTTAATATTGCTGTTTAGTTAGAGTTTAGGTGACAACATTTCGTCAACTTTGCTACAGGGGCGGAACGACATTGCCACCAAACCCCGAAATGCGGGGGGGGGGGGGGGGTGGGGCACGCCATATAGGGCCCGCAGCCGACCATAATCAATTTTTTATTGTTAATAAATAATGACGTCACGCTTTTTTGGACGATTTTTACCTTCACTCACCCTCCCCTCTGTCACACATCGTCACAAAAAGCCAGACCCCCCCCCACTTTTTTAGTGTAAATAAACAGATCTACTACATGCTTTTGCGTAAAAAAAATATATGCATGAGCTGTAGTGTGAAAGATAGGCAAACGTTCAAAACACTTCCATGACTTATTTCCCTTTTTTAAATAGTTAAATAGGGGTACTCATAAGCACCTTTTAATAGATTTGTACTAAACAAATTAATTAAAAAGCTATTACTTCTCTTAACTATGTGTTTAAATACACACTAAAGAATGAAATAGTAAAAAAGGAAAATCTATTTAAAATTAATAATATACATAAAAATAAAACAAAAAAAAATAAACATAACACGAGAAACCATTACACATACAAGCTTTCACATTTTGTATTCTACAGTAGTGATGTTATACAGGTAGCTACCACATGCTTTTGCGTAAAATAATATATGCATCAGCTGTAGTGTGAAAGATGGGCAAACGTTCAAAACATTTCCGTAACTTATTTCCCTTTTTTAAATAGTTAAATAGGGGTACTCATAAGCTCCTTTTAATAGATTTGTACTAAACAAATTAATTAAAAAGCTATTACTTCTCTTAACTATTTGTTTAAATACACACTAAAGAATGAAATAGTATAAAAAGAAAATCTATTTAAAATTAATAATATACATAAAAATAAAACAAAAAAATAAACATAACACGAGAAACCATTACACATACAAGCTTTCACATTTTGTATTCTACAGTAGTGATGTTATACAGTAGCTACCAAATGCTTTTGCGTAAAAAAATAGAAAATCTATTTACAATTAATAATAAACATAAAAATAAAACAAAAAAATAAACATAACACGAGAAACCATTACACATACAAGCTTTCACATATTGTATTCTACAGTAGTGATGTTATACAGTAGCTACCAAATGCTTTTGCGTAAAAAAATAGAAGATCTATTTAAAATTAATAATATACATAAAAATAAAACAAAAAAAATAAACATAACACGAGAAACCATTACACATACAAGCTTTCACATTTTGTATTCTACAGTAGTGATGTTATACAGTAGCTACCACATGATTTTGCGTAAAAAAATAGAAAATCTATTTAAAATTAATAATATACATAAAAATAAAACAAAAAAAATAAACATAACACGAGAAACCATTACACATACAAGCTTCCACATTTTGTATTCTACAGTAGTGATGTTATACAGTAGCTACCACGTGATTTTGCGTAAAAAAATAGAAAATCTATTTAAAATTAATAATATACATAAAAATAAAACAAAAAAAATAAACATAACACGAGAAACCATTACACATACAAGCTTTCACATTTTGTATTCTACAGTAGTGATGTTATACAGTAGCTACCACGTGATTTTGCGTAAAAAAATAGAAAATCTATTTAAAATTAATAATATACATAAAAATAAAACAAAAAAAATAAACATAACACGAGAAACCATTACACATACAAGCTTTCACATTTTGTATTCTACAGTAGTGATGTTATACAGTAGCTACCACATGCTTTTGCGTAAAAAAATAGAAAATCTATTTAAAATTAATAATATACATAAAAATAAAACAAAAAAATAAACATAATACGAGAAACCATTACACATACAAGCTTTCACATTTTGTATTCTTTTGACCGGCTCAGGTAAAATGAAACAAAGATTTTCAAAATAGACAAATACTCTCACACACATCACATGTTATTGTAATTTGGTTTAATTTTTAAAAAAGACATTTTTTTTTCAAAACACGATTAGGCCAGAAATGGCTACTCTATGTTTGTATTCTGTGTTTATATATATATATATATATATATATATATATATATATATATATATATATATATATATATATATATATATATATATATATATATATATATATATATATATATATTAGAGAGAGAGAGGGGGGCAGAATTTTTTTTCGCGTAGTGGCCCTTTTTTTCTAGGTCCGCCACTGCTTTGCTGTCCCTGATTTATATCAATTACGCCGTGGCTGTAGCTGAAACGCACATTTCTACACAAGCTGCATACACCCTTTAACATGTTATAGGATTCCACCTGTTAACCCTAGCGTATGTGCCTTAAAATAGTATGTAAATGGCACAAATGATGTTTGTAAATGAAAGCTAAAGTAGGCCGAATTTCACGGACAAAAACTGCAACATACATAGAGGTGGCCATGTTTTAACTATACATTTTTAAGTATACAATAGAAAGTAGATATCTCACAAAAATCTAACAACAATCTCAATAACGTAAAAGTAAAAAAACAAATTTTGATCGTATTTAAATTACTAATTTAAAAAAAAACAACTCATGGCAAAATGTGTAAATATTCATTTTAAATTCAATGCACATCTCTGTATTTAAGACAGAAAATCGAATAGCCTAAGTATGAAGATGATATATTTTATTTGATGAAACTTAATCAAACTTACAAACATGAAGACAAATAATACATGATGCATTTTACTACCATGCAGAGCGAATAAATTTGTAATATTCTTCAACGATAGGCGAGGCTAAGTGGCCTTAATACGTTTTCTAACATTTCAAGGTAGGTAACTCAACAATATTGCAGGAATCAGTTTGTTGAAAATGAGGCGCTTCTTATCGTTCTTCGTTCTCCATAGTCTCCCGCTAAACAAAAATGGGAGACAACCAAAAGAGGATTTAAAATAATTTCAGCAATAATTATTATGAGAAAAAAGTATTTTTACTTATAATATATCATTTTTATGATTTACTGTCTATCTCCCTTAAATTTTTATATTCTTTGCAATTACATCACATAAAGAATTAACCATTGACAAAATTAAGTATTAAAATTATATTATGTTTATGTAATATTTAACAGCTATACCATACATACACATGTAGGTAGTACCAGCAAGTGGCGGAACTAGAAAAAATGGGCCACCCCGCAAAAAGAATTTTTTACCCCCTCCCATATATATATATATATATATATATATATATATATATATATATATATATATATATATATATATATATATATATATATATATATATATATATATATATATATACAGTATTCTACAGTATTCTTTTTACAATACAACCATTAAGTCTAAAATGCTTAAAAAATTGTAACTTAAAAAAATTGAGTATGGTCGGATATGGGCCCCCAAACGGCGTGCCCCCCCCCCTGCATTGCGGGGTCTGGCGGCACTGTAGTTCCGCCCCTGGTACCAGCATGTGTTGGAAGTAGCTGGTAATAGGTGTGTTTTTTTTTTAATATGGCGTCTCACTCATACTAATCTTTAGTGCCCTAAATTAATTACGGGGTTCACTTTAAGTTTGAGAATTAATCATATTCTCACATACTATTTAGTATATTAAACATGCATTGGTTATTAAAGGGTCCTACCCCCATCCCCTCCCACCCCACACACCAACAACTTGTATTGTGGGTGCGTATGTGAGTGCATGTGAAAGAAATTCACATTTCTATCCAGTGATACGAGTAACTAAGCAACCAACCAACTATTGTTACCTGTAGTGTTCAACACACTGGACGTCTTGCCATCACTCTGTCTTGACCTACGCTTGTACCACCTAACGTATAACACAACCAGACCAATGACCATGGCAATACCCAGCACTGAACAGCCGATACCTACACCAAACTTGATCCAAAACGTTGACATATCTGGTAGAACAACACAAACTATCAGTTTACATTTTTTCTGAACAATCAATAAAAAATACTATTATTTATTTTTTTTTAATTACCAAATAATGTATATAATTGTGAAATTGGTTCATTTAGAACATCGTAACAATACGAAAACATTCCTTTTTTTAATTTAAAAAGTAGTGTATAATATTTACACATTTACTAACCCCCTATCCCTCCACACACACCCTCTCTCCACACACCCTTTCCCGTCACACATGTCAGACCACCAATCCTCTAACTACAGGAGGCCATGTATAGGTAACCCCTGTCTGTACATGCCAGTAATACACTATCTATTCTAGTCAATACCATGTCGAGTTGACATTTTAAACACATCTATATATATATATAATTCTCTTCTTGGAGACTCTAGAAAACACCAAGCTGTAAGCGCGCTCCCTGCCACCCCACCCCTACATTGTCTGGTGAGCTGTGGTTCACGTTAAATGTTTACAATCGTAGAGCCGGGTTTAGTGACGGATATTAGGTGCAGATAAAATTTAATTTGAAACTTAGGGGAGGTAACTAAGAGGAGGCTGCTTTCACGGGGGGGGGTAGGGTATGGGTTGGGGGAAAGTAGTGTGGGGGTAGTATCGTCCTTAACGACCTACTGATAGTGTTTTAAACCAAATATTTTCAGTGGCAGCATTGGTACTGTCGATTTCACAAATTTTGAATTACTGAAAAGTAGAAAATAAAACAACTAATTAGCGGCGTATGATACGCCGCGGGTCGGCTCGTTTGTTTTAACAGAGTAGTCAGGAACATGGACTGTTATCCCATCATTTTATTGGCAACACTATTTTAATCAACCGGCTGGGTAAGACATACGATAACGTTGAATGGACGGCTGATTCGGCTTTAGAGTTCATAAACAAAATTTAACATAAACACCAGCTCACCTGACCGAGTGAACGCTATTTCCTTGTTATCTCCCATGTGTCACCTAATAAAGTTATCTTTATATTAATTGTAATGACCAATTTAAAATCTTTTTCAAATTTTAACCGAAATTTTGATGTACTGTTGTCAGAGAAGAAGTTATCTACTTAGCTTTACAGATATTGAATCTCCGGAAAAGGATGGAATCTTTCTAGCTTTACCCACAACCAGACACCGAACACAGTAACCTATCAAAAAATAATCTTTACCAGTCGTGTTCTCCACATCTTGATTAATGACTTCAAACTTCACATCCAACTTCCCTTCTGTGTTCTCCATGGTCAACAAGTAGGTCGTAACGGCCTTGGTCATCTTATCATACAAGGTCACGGTGACCACACCAAATGGTGGCACCAGGCTCAGGTAGGAGATACTGTAGGTGCTTTTGTCGACGTCAGTGAAGGAATTCCCCGATTCTATTTTTAGACCAAATTTGTTCGGCTCGGGATATCCGTAGACCTCGAGGGTGAAAACTGTGTTTTGGTCACGTGTGGTGTAGATGGTGGGGATATCTGGTGATGGGTGTCTGACTTTCAGGACACCTGATGGAGGATAACACAACTGTAATAACGGTGACAGGACAAATTATCTCAAGATAAATGATCCCAAACAAAATATTTCAAACACAATTTTACTCAAGGGTATATGATCTCACGGACAAAAGATCTCACGACAAAATATATTAGGAAAAAAAGTAATCGCGGATAAAAAATATGATCGCACATTGCCCTGATATTATTTTTCCTTGAGATATTTTGTCATGAGATCTTTTGTGATGGAACCACAAAACTCTATAGTAATAAGTTCTTTCTTTATTTGCGTGGTCGATTGATGCCCGTTTGACTGCCATCTCAACAGTTTTGAGTTCGGGTCCCCGATTAGAACCGTGGTAAGTCATTGAGTCAACCCAGCTCTGATGGGTACCTGACTTATGTTAGGGAAAGTAAAGGCGGCTGGGCATAGTGCTGACCACACTATCCCTTCACATGCCGAGGTCACAGTAACAGGGAAACTCTACTTCCCCTAACCCGCGGACCATAAGTTTCAAAATGGAACTGCATTACTTTACATTTCTTTGTTTTGACATGATATTAAAAGCGTCGATCTCTAAAATTAGCATAAGATTGTATTAGCTAGCTACAGTTGCTTTAGAGCTTAACGTCCGCGGTGGCGTGCAGGTGCATAACACCAGCTAACCTCTAACACCTGGCTGATTTAAGCTAACTCTAGTCATTAATCCTGTCATTACGCTGCCATTATAAACTATGCCAATCTTTACATTAATAATTAATACTCTATTTAAAACCTAGGCTGTAGCCGTAAATGAACGTGTTTGCAAATTTTACAAAACATAAACAACGCTACATTGTTTACAACTGAGTTGGAAGATTTGACCACAAAAGCGCTCACAGATATATATATATATATACAGTGAGTTACGTAAAAGCATTTAAAAATAGCACTAGCAGATTGACTACTTCGGATAATGATACATTTAAAATTTAATTTTTTTTGTAATGATAACTTAATTAAGTCGTTATCTTACACCCAATATTGACATCTACTGAATTATAAGCCTTCGTCTTGTCTTTGTCTTCCATACAAAAATATCGTCCCGAGTCTTCACATTGTAGATCTTCTAGAACCAGCTCCAAGACTGACGTGTTAGATTGGATTTCTTTCACCTGTCCAAGACCGCTGCCATTGATCAAGGCTTTAGCAGGTGGGTCTACTTCACAGAGAAGTAAGACATTTGCTCCCAGTTCAGCGACTTTTGAACGCGTATCATTAACTGTAAACCCTACTGTGTTTGGTAAACCTATGACAGGGATAAAAAAATAATAATCTTGTTTTTAAGGGGGAAGGCTCCGGTAAAAAAAAACTTTTTTAATACTCGTTAGAAAACAGTTATTTCTTTACAGCTTTATTAAGATACATACGCATATGCATTTCCACTAAAAAAAATTGGTGGAAAAATCTTGGTAACTATGACAATGGCGGCCATCTTGAAAAATTAACCCCTTCGTAGGTTTTCCACCATTCATAAAATATTACATTTTAAGCCCAATAAACAATCAATTCATAATCTTCTTCCATATTTTGGGGCAATCAGCTAAAAATTTTAAGTGCATATCTTCAAACTAATTTTTTATGAATTTTCAAAATTTGTGTCCGTTCAAAACACTTAACTTTGGGGAATTTTGGGGCATTAAAACTAGTGTTTTGAACAGACACAAATTTTGAAAATTCATAAAAAATTAGTTTGAAGATATGCACTTAAAATTTTTAGCTGATTACCTCAAAATATGGAAGAAGATTATGAATTAATTGTTTATTGGGCTTAAAATGTAATATTTTGTGAATGGTGGAAAACCTACGAAGGGGTTAATTTTTCAAGATGGCCGCCGTTGTCATAGTTACCAAGATTTTTTCAAATTTTTTTTTAGTGGAAATGCATATGCTGATGTATCTTAATAAAGCTGTAAAGAAATAACTGTTTTCTAACGAGTATTAAAAAAGTTTTTTTTACCGGAGCCTTCCCCCTTAAATCTTTGATGAGCTAAAGATTTTATTAAGAATAATCAAAATGGTCGAAAGCTTATGCATTATGTAAAAATAAATAGGTTAGTTTGGTTTGATTATTTGATGCTATTAGTTTTCAATGCATATCGATGTATTATCCACATAACTTCAATAGTAATCCAAAAAGATATAATTTTCATAGTTTATTTTTATTTTTAGAATTGTATTCATTCAATATTAAATAAGTTCTAGGATTCATAACTCAGGGGTATTAATCATTAAAAAAATATAACAATACCCATGAAACAAATATTATGTTTACGTTATGTGTATCCTTCGACATATAGCCTGTTTTTAAATCTGGACAGTCATTTAAACCTAAAATATTTTAAAGTTAAACCGGCAAAAACTAAAATATGACTAATACTTTAGTATCTAAAGTATGAGATAATTACACGAATAAATCATTTAATGAGAAGGCTACATAATGTTATAATGGCTTGCACAATATTTAAGTACTATAGTATAATCAGATGGCTGACAAAGCGACACAAACATGGGTTGTAAACATGAGAGTAAAAAAAAGGCATGAAGATTACTTGTGTATTTGAGAGTTAACAAAACGACACAGAGGCGTAGCGACCCTTCCCGGCGCCCGGGGACAAACTTTTCGATTTGCACCACCCCCCCCTCGAGATTTCGATTTGCACCCCTCCCCCCCCCCCCTCCCCTCAAACTTTAACTTTCGATTTGCACCCCCCTCAACCTTTCAATTTATTTTTCCAACCCATTTTGGCGCCCCCTAAGGTCGGCGCCCGGGGACATATGCCCGCCCCCCCCCCCCTCGCTACGCTACTGAAACGACATGAACATTAGTTGTGTATTTGAAAGCTAACAAAACGACATGAACATTACTTGTGTATTTGAGAGTTAACAAAACGACATGAACATTACTTGTGTATTTGAGAGTTAACAAAACGACATGAACATTACTTGTGTATTTGAGAGTTAACAAAACAACATGAACATTACTTGTAAACCTGAGGGTTGATATCTCCACACAGTCCAGCCGGGATAGCGCCGCGACCCCAATGTTGATCGACAGCTGTAGCTGGGACCACCTTGCAATACGTAATTCAGGTCCTAACACCAGCCAGGTCAAGTTATAGTTGTACATGCCTTTACTGAGCACTGGCCGCGCCTGCAATGGCTGTAACACATATTGAAGTGAGTGAGGGAAAGACATAAATATAATGCAACTCTCCGCCATTGTCCGGTCCTCAGTCAAGAATAAAAAGGTGGAGGGTTCGGCTAGCAGCCCACCAGGTTGGTGTTGGGGCTAGCAACCCATTTTGGTGTTGGGGTTAGCAACCCATTTTGGTGTTTGGGCTAGCAACCTACCAGGTTGGTGTTTGGGCTAGCAACCTACCAGGTTGGTGTTGGGGCTAGCAGCCCACCAGGTTGGTATTTGACTTAATGCTTCACATGTAGCAATGTGGATTAATTTAGTATCTAATTAAAATATACATACAATGCTGTGTAATAAAATAGAATACTCGCAGTAATAGATACACTTGCTACATAATTAAATCTATAACGATTTTGGTGGACACCAAAAGAAATAAATCTCAACTATCTATGTAATTATCTGTGTCATTTTGTATGTGAGGCTAGTATTACCTGGAATATAATATTACTGTCATTAGATGTCGGATTAAACTCAAATTCTTCCTTCGCCAGACATTGTAAACATAATACAAATTGGCCGTTATCCACAATTAGCGTTGGTTCTTCACATACTGGTAGGCTATTTGCTAGTTGACAAGAAAAATACATTTTACATTAGTCGTTAATCAAGGATATTAGCATTTCAACATGTGAATTTAAATCTAAAACTAAGTTTAATCGGTTGCACATTTTTATATTAAGTTGTATTTTTAAGGGTTGGTACGTCAAAGTTTTTGCTTGTTAATTTTTAAAAATTCAACTTTTAGTTTCATCATCATCTTTTACCGTTCGTGCTCAAGACAAATGGACAGATGAAGTAGAATTCATCTGTTTCAGAGACCTCGGCATATGAAGTGATCAGTAGCGTAGCGAGGGGGGGGGGAACATATGTCCCTGGGCGCCGACCTTAGGGGGCGTCAAAATGGGTTGGAAAAATAAATTGAAAGGTTGAGGGGGCCACAAATCCAAAGTTTGAGGCGGGGGGGGGGGGGTGCAAATCGAAATCTTGATGGGGTAGTGCAAATCGAAAAGTTTGTCCCCGGGCGCCGGGAAGGGTCGCTACACCTCTAGGAAGGGATGATCTGGTCAGTGCCCAGCAACTTTTTTTTTCCTACCGTATATAAGGTACTGTGTGGACTCAGTGACATTCTTTAGACTTGAAACCGGATTCGAACTTCAGACTTACTTTAGATTAATGTAATTAACTACATTAAAATAACATCAACACTTCAACCAAACGAATCAATATTTAGTTTGGTTTTGTACACTATGAGGTTTTTTCCGTGCTGAATACCTGTTATTCAATACAAGTTACTTTTGTGTTTCTTTGATTTGTACCTGGTTAAGTTTCCCTCTAAAGAATATCCGTGTGTTTGTCTAAGGCGAGTACGAAATTCTGGGGGTATCAGATGTATCACGTCCGCTATCTAATCCTTAAACATACGTGTGCTAAAGATAGTTTATAGATAGGTAACGTGCTAGAGGATTGGCTACACATGGGAACACTATCAGTAGTTTAAGTGAAACATTTAGAATGGATGATAGCAAAGTTAATTTAATTTAACTAATAATAATTTTAATCAGTGGCGTAGCGAGGTCGGGTGTCACCCGGTGCGGCACTTAATGGTGTCACCCCCAGAGGCGCAACGACCCTTCCCGGGGACAAACTTTCAATTTTCGAATTTACACCCCCCTCAAACTTTCGATTTGCACCCCCCCCTTCAACCCTTCAAACCTTCGATTTGCACCCCCCTCAAACTTTTGATTTGCACCCCCCTCAAACCTTCGATTTGCACCCCCCTCAAACTTTTGATTTGCACCCCCCTCAAACCTTCGATTTGCACCCCCCCCCCCCCCTCAAACTTTCGATTTGCACCCCCACCTCTTAAAAGGCTATTTAACACTCTAATTAATCACTCTATTAAGTGGAATTATCATTTTTCTCTATATATTTTGCTATTTTTTTGCCTTGGTGTCACCCCCCTAAATGGTGTCACCCGGTGCGGTCCGCACCCCCCCTCGCTACGCCCTTGATTTTAATAATAATAGGGTTGAACGTAAATTGTGTCTTGTAATGTTAGTCGACTTTAACCATATTTTGTCCATCCCCCCTCCCCCCTCCTATCCCCATAAAAATATGTATGCCATCGTCTCGCGTAGTTACACAGGATCTCGTGTTCCTTATATCACGTGATAGTTAGAACAGGTTACACCCCACCCCCGCCCACTGTTTGTAATTCTAGAAACCATTTTTTAAATTTTTAAACGAAAAAAAGTAAATACTAACTCACACCTTTTTCCATGCCCCCCCCCCCCCCCTCCCCTCGCGTAACTCATCCCTACTTAAATTTGAACACCACTGTTCTTTAATTCTGCTCGATGTATTTATAACCAAAGTCTAATACAAAGAAAGTAATCAAAGTGAAAGAAAAAATTACCAAATCCGCTACACTTGTAAGAAGATCGTATACAGCCATCCCCTTGTACTGATATAAACAAGGGCTTGCCAATATCCGAATAGCTCTGTTCTATCTCCAGATTAGCGGCATCGCGTGTAGTGACGTTTTGTGACGCTAAAACACGCCCAGAGGACGTCACGACGGACACGCCCAAGTAAGACATGTGGTCTTTGAATAGAAAGGAGAAACCCACGGCATGCTTTAGTAAGGACGTGTTGTAATCCAGTGTAAAGTTATTGAAAGGGATTTGGGCGTATATCAACCAGTCTAAAAATAACGCATTGTTTCCTGTGAGAGAGGAAAAAAATATAATTTATATTAAGTACAAAATATTTAAAAATAAACAAAACTAAAAGAAGATAAAATTATAGTAAGACTTTCATAATTTATATATTGAATTCAACATTCAATTACCTCTGCAAAGCTATTTTTTTAATTATTCAGATGTAGTATTTATAAATGAATTATTGCGTTGTGTAAATACTATATTACCATACACGGGTAGAGAGATACATTTTGTTATGTATGTTTTAACGCCGGACCAAGTCAGGCAGAGGTCGTGGAAGGCAACTTGTGGCGCGGTGCTGAAGCTGACCCTCAACTTGTACACGTCCTGATCGTATTGTACACATTGTACACAGGAGCTGCTGTTGTGGAGTGTACAGTTCAAGTCTCGGATTGACGTCTTACATACTACATCACCTGGTGTCTGATTTATAAATAAGAATAAACTATAGTCAATGTATACTGAATGGCATCAGTAGGTCGGAGTTCACCCCGAATAGAAACACAGCTTGTGCTTCCCCCCCCCCCCCCCCCCAATATTTGGGTTATGTTTAGGGTATCATAATTTTGTTTTCTAAATTGGAGATTAGAAAATATGCAATATGTGTAGAATTTTAAAATACACATTTATGTAAAAAAAATTGCGTTTAAAGTAAATGTGTAATAAAACAAAAATGTAAAGACGTAAATATAAGTCTGAGGAGTATTGTAAACACGCCTTTAAATATAGAAGTTCAGAACCACAGGCGTAGCGACCCTTCCCGGCGCCCGGGGACAAACTTTCAATTTGGCGCCCCCTCGGGAACAACCTTTTAATTTTCAATTTGCCCCCCCCCCTCAAACTTTCAATTTGCATCCCCACTCTCAAACTTTCAATTTGCGCCATTTTGGCGCCCCCTAAGGTCGGCGCCCGGGGACACATGAACCCCTCGCCTCCCCCACCCTCAGAACAAATACTTGAGTGCAGTGTAGCCGAACTTGAAACTGGGTCATCTATTAATAAACTGAAAGCACTATTCCTGATCCACTAGCGTGTATTTATTTAATCTATATTAAAAAACGCCCATCTGTAAGCCCTCTCTTTGAAATACCTAGTTATATATATATATATAAAGGGAAGATTAGTTGATAGAAAATCATTGAAAATACTAATGCTATTTTTAGAACCCAAACTTCCTCTTGTAACGTGGGAATCTCCGTGGAAATTAGCAAGCTATTTTTAAAGAATAACGTCAGGATTTCCTCATCCTAAGGTCAACAGTGTTTAGGGTGTTTCCTGCTTCTTGACTTAAGGATACATTACATTTTATAAGTATGTACTTCTATTTGTATATTAAGTATTACATACCAGTATCAACATTGTATAAAACACCACGATTTCATTTATATCTATTTAAATTCGTGTGCATTGTTATATATTAAAGGAAAATCAGTTTCTTTTCTTCTTTTTAGTAAATAACTAAAAGCTTATTATTGATAATCGTTTTTTTTTTCAATTTTTCTAGCACTTTAACTTTTTATCCCTTTTAGTTTCTAGCACTTTTACTTTCATTCAGCGTGCACATGGAGTAAGGACTATAGAAATGGTCAATCTAATTGACCATCTGCCCTTTATATCTAGAAAGATACCGCCTTTAATGTTGATGTTTGGATGGTAGATGCTGAGGTTTGAATATATACTTTGTACGTAAGTTGGTTGTGAGAAAACAACTCATTAAACATAACGACTATCTTTCGATACTAAGATAGTTGTCTGCCTTTAAAACACTATTAGACCTACTAAGCAGTTGCTTGTAAAAAAAAATACTAATTTCAACCTAGACAAGTAATTTTTTTGCGTCAGTCTCCCTTATCCCCTTGTTCGCTTTTATATTACTATTATCGTCTTCGTTTTTTCATAACTGTCATAGATTTACATTGATTTTCTTTCAGATATATATTTTCGTTCACAACAGTTTCCAAAATATACCTATGAAATTTTAATTTTTTTAATTTTTTTTAATTTTTTTTTTTTTTTTTTTTTATTTTTTTTTTTTTTTCCGTAAATAAATTAGAATTTTGAAGCCTAATAATGACAACTAATAAGCAAGAATTAATAGAACAATAATACATTTTTATTTAAATTATATGTATAAAACAAATAATTGCTTATAGTTTTATGCCGCTCTAAAATCTAATAAAATTTAAAAAATTAAAGTGTTTAAACAAAGAATACATTACAAAGTAATAAATTTATATTTACAAAATAATGTAAATATATAATTATATTTATTTCCTCAAGAATAAACTTTTTTTTCTA